TAGAAATAGGAACATAGCTTTTTTACCTCCGAAAATGTCAGTGAGGCGGATCTCTGCTTTTTCCGGCTGGCAAAAATGATGGCAGACACTGCCTCACTCGAGTTTGTAGCTAACGGTAGAAAAATGAAAGAAATGAAGAAAGTAGGGATACTTGTGGCGTTTGAGAAATTATCGACAGCATCAACCAGAGGATCTGCAAATGCAGCTGCAATGAGAGTTCCGAGCAGCAACAGAAGCACGGCCTTTACTGTAGTCCACTGAGGATTCTCGACACTCTCAACAATTTCATCACTTTGGTCTCCCAGAAGGTCGTGCTCTCTCTTTGTTTGCTGGAAAAGAAGAAATTTAACAACCCTTATATTGTGTATAGATAAATATGCATACTACCTTTCAGATTTGGGTTATTTATTAAAAATAAATATCATACGCTTTTAGTTTGCTTCTATTGTTAAACCAGTAACACAATATATGCCCCATGTGGGGGAAATTTGTAAATCATATATTTTTCTGGTATGTGTGACAGAAAGGGTCAAAATTGTCCAGCCATACTGTTAAGATTGATTTCTTACATTTCCAGAACCACACACACACCCAAAAAAAAAAAGCTACATTATTCGTAAAAGTAATGCACTTGTTCAGATACTAACCGCCAATTTGGAAAAATCATATTTGAACAGACATTGTAGCGGTAGTTATTGTGATTTATTTGATGTAAACAAACAGCAGAACTTCCCCTAGATACTTACGCAATATAATAAGAAATCATAGTAAAGTAACGTACTTGATGATATTCGTCAATGTACTTCATGGAGTGACCACTGTGAGAACCTCTGCCACGCTTGGCCTCCTCAAGCCATCTCCCAATTCCATTAATGAATTCCCGCAGGTCGACTTTTGAGTCGCGGCTGTTGTCAAAATCCCTCATCACTTTCTTTACAGCGTCATCCTCGTCCAAGTTGATCTCGTTAAACTGAATCCCCACAATCAGAGCTCTTAGTTCCGAGTACGAAAGGTATCCATCGTCATTTTCGTCAATCGCTTTAAACAACCTGTGATATTCGAATTAGACACAGGCATCAATAGGAAAGCAGGGGTTGTATAGTTTGAAATGAGTGGAAAGAATAGGAACAGAATTTACTTTGTCAGGACTTCAACATTGGGCCTCCCATCCTCCGTGGCGAGTTTGCCAAAGGCACGCATTTTTAAATGCTTCAAGATTCCTGATATGACGTGCTTGTGCTTTGCATAATCAAGTCGCCTTCTTTGAACCCAGGGCTGGAAGATCTGCAAAAAGAAAAATGTTTCTAA